AAATGTTTGTTCGAAAAGTGTGTCGAAAATTATTTGTATCGCGAAACTAAGGTCATATTCGGTTTTATCCCCAATCATCCTATGAAGTCAGATTTTGAATTACTTATCTTGTTTGAAAATTATCGTGTTAACAAATTTTTGCGCACATATATTCAGACATCGAAAAAACGTTTGATTCGTGTTCCCTGGCTCCTAAAACACCCAGAAAACATGTTTTTTGAGGGTGTTAATTTTTCAACCGATTCCAATACTTCACCTTACACACTAGGTGTGTGCGGAAAAGTAAAAAATCACAAAGAAATATATGCTTTTTAAATAAGATTTTTGGAAAAATGTTATTGCGTCTATCTTTTTTTCGCAGAGTGTATCAACATAGCTATTCGAGAAGCTGTAAATATTATCGATGAATGTGTTTTCCTTCGATCAATAGTTAAAAAAAGCTAACTCTTTTATGAGTAAAAGTACACATATTGATACAAATTGATTTAAATTCCGTTATGTTCCATGGAAAAAATGATGTTGATTTATTTTCATTTTTCCTTTCCGATTCATCTCCAGGATATATTTGATGAAGGTCAATGGGTAGATGGTGAAAATTTTGAAGCATATTTAATGAGATTTCATAGTATTTTTAATGCACCGGAAAATGTCAAAGTATACAGTACAGTCGGAAATCATGATATAGGATTTCATTACAGGTATTACATTGAATTAAAGTAACAAATATGTTTTTATTTATATGTTATAAATGTTTTTTTTTTTTTTTAGATTGCATCCATACATAGTAGATCGTTTCAAAAATGCGTTTGAAGAGAGTCAAAATTCATTAATCACTATTAAAAATAGTCATTTCATATTGTTGAATTCAATGACTTTGTCGCGTGATGGATGTTATTTTTGTGCCGATGCTGAGGCAGAAATTCTAAAAATATCACAGCGTTTGAATTGTGCAAAACTTCCATCACGTTCCACTAACTGTAAAAACTTAAATAATAAATTACCCTTTTATGCTCGACCAATAGTCCTTCAACATTTCCCAACATTTAGAGTCTCAGATAATGTTTGCAAAGAACATGATTCGCCTAAAATAGAAATATATCGTGAAAGCTGGGAAGTTCTATCTAAAGAAGCCACAAAATTTCTTGAAATTCTTAATCCGGCTGTTGCATTTAGCGGACATACTCATAACTTTTGTAGATCACTTAACATATGGGGTGTAGAAGAATTTACCATCGCTTCTTTTAGTTGGCGCAATAAAAATAATCCCAGTTTTCTTTTGGTAATAGGTCCTAGTTTCTTCAGCATGAATATAATTTAATGTTGTCCTATTTTTAGGCGGAATTCTTCAAGAGCGACTATGCCGTTTCAAAATGTGATATGCCACGTGAAGACACTGTAGTTTGCATTTACATTACTACCGGTTCAATAGTTTTACTAACAATTATTTATATTGTATTTTCTTCATTGTGTTCGAAAATAACGACGAAAAAATCAAAGAAAATATAGAACATATACTGTGTTTTAATGTATAACTTTTATTGAATGGAAGCATTTTAGAGTTCGACAATCTTTTTTTGGAAGAATTGAATCAAATTTCACTTTTCTATGATGAGAAACCGTGTTATCTGCACTAAATTAGGTTTTCATGTAATTCGCTTAGTCCCTGAAAAATGATAAAAGGCTTAATTATGTTTTTTAACTCAAAAGTTGGCATCATATTTATTACTATAAACATTATTCCAATTGACGTTCATTGTACTTCTATAGCCGTAATATTGTCGTTTTGAAGCTGGTCGCGTTCAGCACAGACACGTAAAATAGAAATCCAACGCCATATAGAATATGGCAACATCATAAGAAAAATGTGGGATACAATCGGCTGATCTACGATTTATCTGAATTAATTGATCAACAGAAACCAGAAAGATAGGAATTCTTATCTCAAAACCCTTCCTTTATAAGGAGTTAAAGGAAAATACTAAAAATAGACTACATAAATGCTGACTATAAACTAATAAATGAGTCACTCCTTGATGTTGACTGGAATAAAGAATTCGATAAAAATTCATTAGAATTAAAACTAGACAATTTCTATACAATTGTAAAGTCAACAATCGAAACTCATGTCCAGATAAAAACAAAAATCATCAGGAAGCAACCGTTATGGTTCAATAGGCCACTAATCGAGTTGAAAAACAAAGTCAGCAAAGCTCATCGGATTAAAAATAAGGTCAACACAATTGAATCAGTAGAAAATTTTAAACAATTAAGAAGAGAATATAAACGCAGTGCACGGTCAGCACTCAGGGATAACAGAATTGAGATGGAGAATCTAATAGACGAAGATCCAAAGAAATTTTTCAGACATGTGAATAACATAAAAGGGAAAAGTGATGATCTGCCGCATGAGATGTCTTATATGGATATGAGGGCAGATGACCAGTCTACAATCGCTGGTTTCTTTGCAAAGCACTTTGCATCAGCTTACAACTCTTTGATGGGAGATCTACGATATGACAACTCGGAGATTGAAAATATTAGCAACATTTGTGCTGAAATATCACCGATTGAAATA